AGTCTGATAGCCTTGTATGATGAGATGATTGCCTCAGTGGGTGTGGGTAGAGGACTAAAGCTTGTTTATCTCAAATTTACTGAGGCTTTTGGCACTGTCTCCCATAGCGTCCTCACGAAGTACAGGCTAGGTAAGTGTTCAGTGAGTTGGACTGAAAACTGGATGAACTGCTTAGGCTTACACAGTTGTGCATAAAATCCAGCCAGAGGCCGATAACTAGTGTCCCAGAGTCAATGGTCCAAAAATTGTCCCAGACTCAATGGTTCAAAAATTATCCCATATCTTTATTACTGACCTGGATGATGGGACAGAGTGTACCCTCAGCAATGCTGCAGGCAATACGAAATTGGAAGGAGTGGCTGATATACCAGAGGGTTATGCTGCCATTCAGAGGGAATACAACGAACTTGAGAAATGGGTAAACAGAAACTTCATGAGATTTGACAAGCTAGAATTCAAAGTCCTGCACCTGGGGAAGAACAATCCCAGGAACCAGCACAGGTTGGGGGCTGACAGCTGGAAAGCAGCTTTGTAGGAAAGGACCTGAGGGTACTGGAGAACAAGCTGACTGTGAGCCAGCAATGTGCTCTCATGGCAAAAAAAGACCGAGAGCCTCCTGGGCTGCATTAGGCACAGCATTTCCAGCAGATTGGGAGAGGTGATCCTTCACCTTTGCTCAGCTCTGGTGAGTCACAGATACACCAGGGGTGACGTGTCCAGTTCTGTCTCCCATGTCTCCCAGTGCAGGAGACATGGACATACTCCAATGAGTCCAGTGTATAAATGGACACGGATGTAGACATGCTGGAGTGAGTTCAGTGAAGTCCAACAAGGTATTTAAAGGATCTGACATACAAGCAGGGGCCGAGAGAGCTGGTGCTGTTCAGTCTGGAGAAAGCTTAGACAGATCTTATAAATGTATATAAATCCCTGATGGGGGGAATGTGGGGGGTGTGGGAGACTCTTCTCAGTGGTGTCCAGTGACAGGACAAGAGCCAGTGGGCACTAACTGAAACACAAGGAATTCCATCTAAATATGAGAAAATATTTTTCTACTGTTTGAATATTGAGCACTAGCACAGGCTGACCAGAGGTTGTGGAGCCTCCATTCTTGGAAGTATTCAAAATCCAGCTAGACACAATACTGGGCAAACTGCTCTAGCTGACTCTGCTTTGAGGAAGGGGTTTAGACAAGATGATGTCAGAGAGAGAGGCCTTTCAACCTCAACCATTATGTGACTCTGAAGCACGGGAAAGTGAAATAATAGCACACTAAACAAACTGAACTAAAGGCATAAGCTCTCTTGTAGATTTTCAAACTCCTAATTTTGGCCTAACAAAGTAACTGGGAAAACAGAATCAAGGGACACACATATTAGATAACCTCAGTGTACTTGGAAGCTGGCATACTGGACTGAAGTTTTTTTAGCTAGGCCAAATGAAATGATGAAGGGGATAAAGGAGAGTACTGACGTAAACTACAGCACTGCACAAGGGCAACCAAGGAGTTTAGGCTGAACTGTGAAGTTTTTGCTCATCTTAATATAGATTTATTATACCATGAGTGTACCTGAAGCACCCTTCAGGTCACAAGTCATTCCTCAGCACTGTCTGTGCAACAAACTCACATTGTCATTTAACAGTCGTTTGAGTTGCTTTTCACTTCTTTTCTTTGGCACAAGGTGTATATATACTGACAGTACTTCAGTGCTGCAGTTACCCCTGGTCCAAGTTTAGCTCTAGTAAGTATATTGCCTCATCACAAACCTTTCTGCATTGCTGGTTCCCCAACCCCACATGCAGAAGGGGAAATGCTTCCTGAAAGAGATCTTAAAAGACTAAGAGATGGATGTGCCACTACAAGATAGCCTGCCACTACAAGAGAGCCTGCCCTCTCCCTAGCCACCTGACCTGACATGCTGCTTCACTGTAGAAGAGACAGGCTCAAGCCTGAGCTCAAACACAGCTGTGATTTTAACCCAAGAGTCTGACTGTGCAAACAACTTGAACTTCTAAATCCAAGTACACATATTCTTGTTAGTCCTTCATAGATTCAGAGGCACTGGAGAAAACTGTATGTGGAAGTGGACATTAAGACTGCAACACAAACAAATGTGAGTGGTAAGGAGTGTACAAGGATGAAACACAAAAGATTGCCTTCGGATACATTTTGTTTGGCAGTCTGCAGTGTATTGTTTTGACAAGACTGTTACACAGGAACTCAAGGTTTCTTCTTGTTTCCTTGCATCTTCCTCAGCAGTGGTTAACATATTACAGCTAATCAGGCTGTACATTGGTGCCAGAATTTACCCTAAAGTTGCAAAGGTAGTTAAAAACAGATATTGAAAAGCAGAGCACATTCTATTTCTGGTTGACTGCTGGTGTTAGATGACCACTGCTGTTAAAGGAACATGCATTTATAAATGACAAAAAAGGTGTTCGAGGAAAATGAGCAAATGCTTTATGATCAAAGAGAACAAAAGTTAGTGAAGATGATAACTGTAGTGAAAGGTTTCTGGAAGCAGATACTACCTTAGTGTTTCATCTACGTCGTGTTTCACTAAACTTTGCTTAGGCTTTAGAGAGAGCTACGAACCACACAGAAACCACAGCGGTCTTCAAGACGTGAGAGGTTTCCAGGTATGCACAGACAGCCAAGGGTTTACCCAGTAGATCACTGGGACAGCAGCTTTATCATTTCCCCATCCCCTCTCTGTTTCACTCACCTCTCAACAAGATATTTCCTGCTACTTGCCCCTTTGCATTCTTGCTCCTCTCAAATTGTAACATCATTCATCTTCCGTGTAGACACTACTCTCTAACTTAAATTTCTGGCAGCCAGTTTAACACACTGTTGTTGAACCAACTTAAAGGGGACTACAAGACCTCAAGCCATATAGGTATCTTATCCTGCATAAAACATTTTAAATTCAGAATTGAAAATAAGCAGAATCCTTCCATGAGAGGTATTCCATTAGGATTAGCCCCAGTTCAAATCTTTTTACTGAAGTAATAAAAAGACAAATCAAATATGCAGTGCCTCTGCAACTGTGCCCCAAATTATAGACTTCAAAATGAAATTGAGTCCTGTTCTCAAACATTCTTCCATTTCTTGGAAGTTCAAAGGAAGTTTATATAGAATGGGACATCACCAGCTTCATTAGAATCCATTTTAAAGTCAATGTCCACTATTTTTTACAGCTTTGTTTAGATACATCCTCAGAGTATCAAGACAATGAAGTATTCCTACAAAAGGCGATGTTCTTAAGTTAACTGCAGAGAGACAGAGCAGGTGAGCAATTCCAGAAGGGCAAGGCAGTGGCATGCAGGAAAAGCCCAAGACTGGATAAACAAAGTCTTGAAACTGAGACAAAGGTCTTTTTCATCACAATACACTCTTCCTCAGAAAAGGGCAATGGCATCAACAGAGCTGATTTTGTCACAGAGAAAATGTGCAGAATTAGGTCTCCTATCAATAACTCACAGCCATGCCAATGGAGCCTCAAGTTGTGTTTTAAAAAAGTGCCCCCCCTTCTGACCAATAAAGACTCCCAAAAGTGGCTTTGCAAGATATTTTGGGCTAATTTTAAAATGCAGTTCAGTTTATAAAAGTTAATTAGACTTGTTCTAAGACATAAACTCTCAGCCAAAGCACAGAACTTCCACTGAATTTCAAAACATTTCTACACTTATTTAAAAAAGTGAAGGTTTTCCTTTGCTTATGCAATGCTATATTCTGGGCTAAATATATCTATCCATCAATTTCTTAAGATAATAAGAAAGTTGTAACAACTCTGAGTGTTATTTTGTGTCACAGGACCAGGCTTCCCATAAGCGTTCAGATGTGCAAGGGCTTACTTCATGAGGAGTGGTGCCAACTCAGGCCACTGAAAGTGATAAAGTGACATCTGTGCCATGCTCAGCCATGCCAGGGGAATTGCTGTTAGCCCCAGACCAGGATGCTTTAGGTGGACTAAAGCACTGACCTGACTAACTGTCAGGTTGGTGGTTCATAAAGGTGATCAGTTCACAGATAGCAGTGATGTAATGACGCCAATGCCTCCATTTATAGCTTGGAAGGAAGGCTACCGAAGGGAGAGTAATTGTTGGAATACAAATATTTTAATGACAGCTTTTTAAGTGACTTTTCAAAATAAATCTCATGAACAGTCCAGATACTCATTTATATGCCATCTGGATAACAGCATTCAGCAAGAGGACAAGAAGCCAAAAAACGACAAGCAAGCTCGCTGCTTCTGTACGAGTCAGATCCTTTCAATCTGCAAGGACACATAATTGAGGAAGGTAAACTCTGGGTTTTCTCCTCTCTTTCTGGATAAGATTTTTTTTTAGTTTAATTCCTATATCTTTTTCCTGATGTTGAAATCATAAATTATAATATATAAAGTTATTTTTTTTTCTCCTAAGTAGTTACTCCTAACTGATACAGTACTAAGGACAAGATGGAAAATGCCTCTACAAGCAATGTCACAGTTTAGTGCAGCCTCAATGAAAATTCATGGAAGAAATAACCTAAGCAACACTGAAATACACTGCTTACATGTGCTGTTCAGGTATTTTGTATCAATAGTTTTCTGCCTTTTGAAAAGGAGTACTAGTAAATAGCAGAAATATTACTTTTTTTGTTTGTTTTGGTTTTTTGTTTGTTTGTTTTGGTTTGTTTTTTTAAAAAAAGCATAATTCTGTGCTACAAAATTTGGTACCAGTGAACAAGTTATTTCTGGGCTTTGTCCTCAGCATCAACATATTGAGAAGTAGATGACTTAAATTGCTTAAATGGCAAATCTTAGGTTTAAATCAAAACAATGGTACTTTTGTTAATTCAACATATCTTCAGAGCCAGTCAGTAGTCTGATGCATGCTCCTTAGCACATCTGCATTGTTAATATTAGCATATCCTGTGGATTTCTGCCTTTTAATTGCTATAACTCTTCTACGTGAAAAATTAAGTAACAAAAAGCATGAATATTTCTAAATACCTGATTAATTATCTGTTGCTGCAGCTTTTTTCCAGACTCTGAAAGAGAAAGAAAAGAATTAGTTTGTACATATTTTAATGAAGATAATATTGGACATGTCACTATCAATATACATGGCACAGAACAATAAACAGTGAATTAATCAAAAAAATAATCAAACCTTATAATTAAGAAACAGAATTTAACATGTAGAAATTACTTGAAACTTCAAAATGGAAATCTACCTAAAATAAAAGAAACACAAGCCCCTCTTAATCAAGATGTGATAAAAAGATAATTGATATAGGGTAGCCAATCTTGCTAAGCTGGAGCCACAAAGAAATCACAAAATTTAAAGGAGAGGCAACAAATTTCAAATATGTGCTATGGAGCATCTTAATATAGTGAGAGCGTACTATGTGCTGGAGAAACTGGTAACATCCAGCTCAAGATCTGACCACTGGAGGAGGGAAGCAACTTCTGCCATTACCTTAAAATAAAATTACGTGTCTGTGTCAAGACTGAGATTCGGCACCAGCTGGCTCAACTTAGAAATTCTATCCTGATAATATCACAAAGCGGCAAGTTGAATGATGGTTTTGTTTCCTTATTCTGGCCTTCTTCTGCAGCATCCTTCAGTGTGCTCCTGGAGATATAATCAGAGCCTGGACAATGCACTGCTTTCTACAGCTGTCTGGGACCCTGGCAGCAAAGACACCTAAAAACTATTCTTTTCTTTTCGACCAATTTTGTCTCATTTACTGCTCCCATGCACTAGATGTCAAAAGGGCAGCTGGTATCAATTACCCTCCCTTTGCTTTTGGAGACCATCCACACGTATTGGGGAAAGTCAGGAATTTCACACTTGCCTATCCAGCTAGGCTACGTGCACCCAGAGGGTTTTTAAAAATAATAATGATAGGAGACACGACTTACAACCTGTCAGTACCACTACTAACTGTCAGGGGAGACTGCCTAGCATGGGTGGCTGCCACCTCCAGCACTGGAAATGATACTCCCTTTCAACAGAACTTTTCCATACTAATATGTGTGGCACAAACAGAATTTTTAAAATGAGGTGTAAATATATAAAGTGTTAAAATACAGTATAAAGACTCTATTTAAAGGAGAATTATCTTCCCTACTCATCCCTGAGACTACTACTCTTTTCAATGAAAGCATTATAGATAATTCAGATAAAGATAATTACTTTAGGCTATATTATAAGATTGTCTCTTATGATAATTACTTCCTGCATGCTTGTGTTGTGTTTTCATTTGCTAAATATAAAAATTATCCTTTTTTTTTAGCTAAAAACCCTCTACACAACTATCATTTAGGGGAGATTTCTTAAAATGTAGTCCCTTGTTCACTGAGTTCATCTTTGGGAGAAATAAGATTTATTCTTGTAACTAATATTTTAACCAAATAGATTGTTGGTAATAGAAGATTAAAGGAGTATGTGTTTTTAGCATTCTCTAATGATATACAAGTTGCTAGGAAAGCAGAGTGTTTGAAATCTCTGGTTAGATCAACACTATTTTGCTCAAAGGTTTGTGGACTTTGAATACTGATGCTTTCCTGTTTCCCAGTACATTTGTTTTTAGGCTATTTTGATTCACTTTAAAGGAATTTTAATAACTTTCTGTTGACAGCATGGACAGCTGGTCTTGAGAATTAGTGAAAATTCACTTGCTGACTGAGGAAGGAAGTGACATCAATGAGTTTCTAAAGTCAGCCCCCAGGGAAAAGTGTGCTCCACGAGAGTAGCCTTTCATGCCATTGTATTTCCAGTGATGCCTTGAGATGCAAATTGCATTATCAATCAAACTTATGGTTTCTACCTCAGACAAATATAAAAAAAGAACACAAAGACTGTGAAAGACCTTTGCAGTCATTTCTGACACTGCTAAGAAAAAGGTGAAGAGGAATTTATGATAGTTCTTTCCTTGTTCTCTCTTCTTTTGGTGATTTAAATGTAAGTATCAAGGAAAGGGCAGTTGCAGAAGTGACTGTATGATACGACAGCAATGGTAACATGGGTTAAACAGGACAGAGATTTACTAGGCTGTTAACGGTAGAAGAGAGATCAAATTCAAGGTCACCAGCAAATTGAATACTGTGTTCTCCATTTATTCGCTAGATGATCCTTGTCCTCATCACAGAATAACTACGTGAATTTGGCATAGTCAGCACTTGTACTCAGAAGGGACCAAGGTCTGTAATAACAGACATGCTACAAATTAGGGTGGAAATATATTGGCATCATTATATAGGGAAGCCTGCAAAGTCCTGGCCTATTTTGAAGAAACATCATGAAAAGCAGTGAAAAAACAAGAACAATATCTACAGTGCTGAAGGGGAATCAGTTTCCAGCTGCCAGTGACTAATAGTAGGGCAGAAAACCATTGAAACTAGGCAGAATTTTGTTTGTCTTATTTTGTTTCGGGTTTTGTTTGGGTTTTTTTTGGTTTTTGTTTGTTTGCTTTTTAAATCCCCAGAATTCTCCTACAGTGACTCTGGCCCTCTCAATTTTGAGAAGGATGTTTCTGTCTAGGTGCTGTGTGATCACTTGTGGTGACCATGGACATTCACCAGAGGGATTAAAGAAACTCCACTGAAAAAAGTGCTCCAAATTCAAAGGACATGAGGCAATGGGACACTGATGAAACGAGAATTGTCAGAACATGTCAGCCAGTCCTACAGGCAACACCTGCGTCAGTCTCATGAAATGCGGGTAATACTTCACACTTGCAAGAAGCTTCATTTCTGGCAGATGTACATATCCTAAATTTAAAATTTATGACAGTTTTTCCTGAGCCACTGCAATGAGGTAGCAGCTTATGCAAGAACATCAAACAAACCAGGAAATTTACTGCCATCTGAAAACTTATGTGGAAGCTGCCCAGTAGTAGCTGGTGTAGTCAAGAACATACCTTCCACAACTCAGACTGCTTGTGAATGGCTTGCTCTTCTGCTATATTTCTTCTGAAACTCATTTTTTCTACCTGTCCTCTGGCAAACTGTTCCTAAATGGGCTCAATAGTACCACCTGACCAGCCTTAAAAGAACAAGCAAATCAAAAGGCATTAATTATAGTCAGCTACAATTGCTGCAACTTTGTGATTCAGAAGTTGTATTTACTAGTATAAACTATGATTCTTATTTGCTGAGGCTGTGCTTTCGTGCTATGCTAACTGAGGCTAAACTGCTGCAACTGGATTCCAATGATATTTTTGCATCAGTACTGGAAAACATACCTTTCCCAATGAATTTTTACTGATTTTTTTTTTTTGTCTCTCTGCTTGCAAAAAGTGTAATGGATGGTTGACTGGTTGAGATAAATGGCCTTCTTGGGTTGACCTCAAGCTATATCACTTAAAAAAATATTACAACAAACATTGTTTAAAAATTTCTCTGTATTTTCATTCCCTAATTAGTATATTAATTCCTGTTTCCAGGGCAAGTTGGGTTTTTCAATATTTTTTTTTTTTATTGCTTGTCCTTATAAGATCATCTTACTGAGAGAAATAACATATGTTTTCTAATGTAACTGACAACTGCAAGAAATGAGAGTGTGCCTTAATTGCTGCTGTCACCAGGAATGGCAACACTGACTCCTCAGCCTTATGCACACAACCTACACAGAGAACAACATGTAATTATGCACACTATGCCCTGCTTACCTCCATACAAAGGAATGTGATATTTGTGCAGGTTTACAGATTAATCTGCTGTAATTCCCTTTAATGTTAAACTACTTCCAGCTCAAATATAATTAAGATCACCAGGTACAAAAGATTCAGATTGGAAATATGAGTACACTCCAACAGAACAAATAACAGCTTGATGCTGTTTCTTATGTTCAAACAGTCGGATACATTAAGGATTTTGACAGCATGTTTGTTCCCTAAGTATGTAGATGAAAAAACAAAGGTTTCATTTCAAAAGGCAAAACACTACTAACTGTATTTAATTAGAGAGCAAAATCCCTTAAATATACAGATCTGCCAATTTATGTGACATGACTGCTTCAAGACCTAGCAACGAAGGATTTTAATTTTTTTTCCTTCCAAAAATCAAATCCCAATTTATACTTCAAGCAATGTCAATAAAATAAAGGCTTTAGAATAAAAAGTTTGCTCCTTAAGTCTTCAGATAATTCTACTCCTATTTGTGCCATGGCAGCAAGGCAGGGGATGAACAGAAGTTTTGGGTCTGTCTCCCTGTTCTCAAGTATCTGAGGGTTTCCAAGCAGGCTGAGAAAAGTGTGGAGATCTCAGAGGGCAAAGGGGGCCCTCAGCCTTGCTCTGAAACAGTAACATGCATAGTCTGACACAGACATCACTTAACTTCAAGTGGGAATGATATTACTAAGAAATCAGTTGTGAAGAGGGAATTTTATGTTCTAATACCAATTTAATTTTGTTTTTCCACTTTGTGAGACAAACACACACTAACAGCTTTGTATTTTACTTTATGTTTATAGACTTAAATAAACACATATGCAACCTATTCAATTATGATCCACCCCACTTTCATTACTGGTGTCCTAATCAACCAGAGCGGATTTTGAGAAGTAAAAGGAAACCAAAGCACTCATTTGTGATAAACTTCTGCAGCAATATCCCATGGCACCCGAGCCTGAGGAAGAAACACTCAGAATTGTTTTTCAGACTTATAACAGACACGGTGTGACACCAACAGATTATCTCCTGTGAAAGCCTGAAACTTGGCATACAAAGATTAAAATATTTAGGACAGAACCACACATTTCCTATAAATTATTGGCAGAATCTCAGAGGTCTATAAGCAACAGAGCTGTTGTAGATCTGCACAGCATCTCCTTCTTCTTCTAACAAGGAATTCATTAAACTGAAAGTGCTCATTTATAGCATTGCCTTCAAAACCTAGTTTAGCTTACTTTTGTACCTCTGTGATATTTATGCAACTGAATATGCTTACAGTGGCCTAAAATATATTAATCACATATTCTTGGTATTGCATAATCCTTCTCAGTTGTCACAATGCCAACTCATAAGTTGCCCTGGCAGTAGGA